ATTATCCCAACAAGTGAACACAGCTCACTGGGTTTTAGACATTTTCGTCTTACATGCAGCCTAAATCACAGGAACTGCTGTCAGAGCCTCTGGACTGTTATTCACTCATGATTGTTTACACGAATCACGTGCGACTGACAGCAAACAGGTGTTGCTAGTATGTCGCGAGTTGCAGCCTTTCCGTCACATCGGACCCTTCTTGACAAGTCACTGTGAAGCCACCCTCTCGATACCGAAATCGTCATTTTAAAGTAGTGGTATTACCAATATATTCAGCAACTTCACGAGCACCACTGCCCTCTCCTTAGGGTTCTTGGCAGCCGTGTTTTTATTCTATTTAAGGCAACACCCTGAAAATAAGTTTCAAAATTCGTGTCAGTACTCTTTTAAAATGACTGTTACACAAAACAAATTGAGAATGATGAAGTCGGTGAGGCCACACAAGCCCATCGGCACCACAATACGATTATTTGGCCTTTGTGCGTGCAGGCCACTCTCCCAAGTTTTTCTACGCTTGAGTTGCGCATTTCAAGCAAGCTAGCCAACCTGCCTTGTTCCTGAGTGTTTCGATTTTCAACTTTCTGCCGTAAGCTCCCCTTGTTTAACTCTACCGCAACTCCTTTGCCTGTCTTTTGCAAGTATGCTCTCCTCTCTTTATCACAACTCCTTAGCCCATCTCCACCGCTCTGCAAAGCCAACCACATTGGCTCAAATGAAGAAGTTTCTTCTGTCCAGAAGCTGTCCCAGAGCAGTTCCACTTGTCCTGGCTTGCATGTCGCTTGTGCGCCTCTTGCTCACTGTTAGTGTGTGTTTGCGGTCAGAATGGTGACTGGAAAGCCTTCCGCTTTGCTGCCGCTCAACATAACACCGAAAATGGAACCGCTTGGCTTGGGCGTAATCCGCATATATGAGACTTATAGGTGCTGCTTGATGATTGATTGATATGTGGGGTTTAACGTCCCAAAACCACCATATGATTATGAGACGCCGTATGGAGGGCTCCAGAAATTTCGACCACCTGGGGTTCTTTAACATGCACCCAAATCTGAGCACACGGGCCTACAACATTTCCGCCTCCATCGGAAATGCAGCCGCCGCAGCCGGGATACTTATAGGTGCTGCTTTGTGGAACGCTTGCTCATATCTGTTGATTACCCGGTGCTCAACTTGTCACGTCAGGTGTCCCTGTATTCAGCTGTGGAGATGGTGAAGCCTTCGTGGGCAGAGGTTGATAGATTGATATGTGGGGTTTAAGGTCCTAAAACCACCATATAATTATGAGACGCCGTAGAGGAGGGCTCCAGAAATTTATCCACCTGGGGTTCTTTAACATGCACCCAAATCTGAGCACACGGGCCTACAGCTATGTGGGCGGAGGTAACGGCTATATGTGTGTGAAACTGTTTTCACGAGGCCGAATTCATCCACGTCGGACCCAATGCCATACCTGAAGCTTCCAAACAGTACCACTCCAGCAGCGATTCGTGGCAGTACTTTGTCGACTCCATGGGTGATGGGACATCTTCTGGGATAATTTCATTACATCCAATGCTGATGACGCTTTTTCTAGTTTTGTATTGTAGGCTTATTTTACGAGTTTGTCATGAACGTTGTGTGTTTATTAACAGGCAGTCTCAGAGTCCATTTCTCTTCACACGGCACGCAAAACAAGCATTGACAAACGCAGTCCTTGATAACTTCCACTACAGATCCCATTCATTAGCATGTCTTGAGCAACTTTTCTGCGGCCGTGCACACAGTCTCCAGGTCACTAAGATTTTGAAGCGACGTGGTTTTTCTACCTACGCTCTGTCTCAGAAATGGCGTGTGCTGCTACTTGGCATGGCCGTGCATATGTGCAGTGACGTTTTTGGTAACTTGGCTTAGCTCGTGTGTCGAGAAAGCAATGATGACGGGACAAGCCATCCACAACACAGGCACAACAACCTTGGGCACAGGTGCACGCAACACTGTCCACATACAGGAAAGCTGTATTAAGCCACATTGTCTCATTAAAACCTTGCTATTTCCAAAAATGGTTGTAGAGTGGCTGTACGTGGTTAAGCATAGTTACTGGAACTCCTGCGAAAGTATAACAGCATGCAACGACAGCATGCAGAAGTCGCTAGAAGAGCTATCGGCATCGCTATGAATTCTCAGTGTTGCTAGCACGCAATGACAGCATGCACAAGTAGCAAGAAGGACTACCAGCATCGCTACGCATTCTCGGCGTTGCTGAGCGAAAAGGGACACCCATGTTCAGAGCTTTTCAGATTGAAAAATACTGCTTATAAAATAACTACGCATATTCTTTTGGGATTATCTACTACAGCTACGAACACTAATAAGAGTAAGCTTTTTGTCACGCCGACAAAAAACTGGGCAATAAAATTAGTTGTCAGCCTCTTTAAAGGGACAGGGTAAGCAAAAAATATTGAAAAAATAATTTTTTTCTTTTTGCATACTTGAAATCTCCAGCCTATTTTGAACCAAAATCAGTCATTTGTCTCAGTGCAATTTTCTTTTTCCTCTAAAATGACATACTTCAAAACTTGTGCAGCGGCCTGCCATGCCCCGATTCTTACGAAGCAAGGGAGTCTTTGCGGTTTAAACATCATAGCGGTATGGAGCGGTTACAGTTTGAAAGCTAGAGTGCATTTAGCACATTCAGAAAAGAATGGGCCCAGAACTGCGAAAACGAAAAAAGCAGAGGCATCAAGCTTTCTGTCAGACAGTCAATATATGGTCGGGGACGTCTTAGCATTCAGAAAAGAACGGGCCCAAAACTGTGAAAACCAAAGAAAACAGAGGCACCAAGCTTTCTGTCAGGAAATCTACATCTGGTCGGAAATATCTTAGTGGTGTCATCATTGGCAAGCAGCAAAACTATTATCATTGAGCTATTAAAAAAAATAAAGCCAGCTTGAAGAACATGCGAAAACCTGTCCGGGCCACATATTTTCACATGGCATGAAAAAATACCAGTCCATCCCACGGCCTTTGCTTGAAGGACGCCGAAACATGGTGGTAATTCAACAAAGCCCAAGTGAATGGGTGAACTATTTGTTTATGAAGAACACCTTCCAGCATCTTGTTATTGAGGCTGTTAAACCAAATCATCTGGAGCTAGCTCATCCAGAATTACTTGATAAATGCCTCCATGGGATAACTCAAAACCCTAAAGAGTCATAGAATTGTCGTGCGGGAGCGCACTCCAAAAACACCAAACACTGAAAATATTGCCACCTGGCCATGAACTGTTGCGAGCACAAGCCGGCATCCAGGAGAAACAAACGAAGAAGCCGTCTGGGACAGCGCATGCTCTCGCTGAGGCTTTTCTTGGTTGTGTCGCGTCACTTACCTGCATCTCTGAGACTACGTGGTATTCCTTGCCCGAAGTGCCTTTTTTCACACGTGACAATTGGTTCATATGTGGGGTCTAACGTCCCAAAACCACCATATGATTATGAGAGACGCCGCAGTGGACGGCTCCGGAAATTTCGACCACCTGGGGTTCTTTAACATGCACCCAAATCTGAGCAAACGGGCCTACAACATTTCCGCCTCCATCGGAAATGCAGCCACCGCAGCCGGGATTCGATCCCGCCACCTGCGGGTCAGCAGCCGAGTACCTTAGCCACTAGACCACCGCGGCGGGGCTACACGTAACAATATGCACTCTTGATGCTGTGCTCACTTTTAATGATGGCAATATAATCCATGTGAATGTGCTGAACTATTTTGGAATTTTGCCAAGGCCCTGCACAGTGCAGGGCCTACACACCCTCGAACTGCATCGACAGTACTGTGCTGACACCGCTGCTTAGCAGGCGACAAAAGAAGCTCCACAGGCAAGACGTTTCGACACAAAAAGAAATTGGTGATGAGCATCTGGCTAGTGAATATTGAAGAAGTTTGCCAATTTGCTGTTATCTGGTAATTTTTAAATAATGCAGATTTTAAACTTTAAATGCAATTATCTCAAAACGTGTTTTTTTTTTACTTTTGTTCTTTTATCTCAGCAACCCCTATATCTATAAACAGATTTCGGCCAGTATTGAGGTAACGTAATAGAGAATATGCTGAAGCAGAATTATTGTTTTGTGAGGAAGTGCTTTTCACATCGAATGGCTATTACCGAGTGATAATCAGGTACCTGAAGTAAAAAATTTACAAAAAATGAGCATAACAATTTTCAGTGCTAAATATGTTTCAGTAAGCAGTAGAATGGCTCATGATCACAATAATAGTAAAATAATTACTGTAACATTTATGGTTATAAAAAAGAGGTACATGAACTTAATTTAAAATACATGGCAAGTAAAGGGCTTACCCTGTTCCCTTAACAAAAATTACCCCCTCCCCCCCAAAAATAGAGAGAGCATCTGGAAAGTATGGTAAAAGCAGTGGAAACTGGTACAGTATAAATTTTCAGTGCTTCTTTAAAACAGGCATCAAGTAAACAGCCACATACATTACAATGAGTGGCTTGTCTAACAAATTCACTTGAGACAATGCAGAACCACGCCGCACGATTTATTCATTCATCCAACTCGTACCATATCAGTGCCTCATCGTTGAGGAAAGAATTATCTTTATCAACTCTTGCAATTCGTCGTCTCATTGCCACTCTATCTCTGTTCCACAAGTTCTTTTACAGCTCACGTGACTGTCTAGACTTTATTACTCCGCTAGTCCGCATATCTCATCGCCTTGGTCTTTCTTGCCTTGCAAGTCGCCAGTCTGCGTAGCCACACCAAGACATTTTCTGCCTCCTTCTTCCCACCGTTATCATCTGAATGGAATTACCTTTCCCAGAGCGTTGCCGCAATTACCTTCCCCACTTTATTCTTGCAAAACGTAGTACATTACCTGTCTCACAAATAACATATGTGGTTACCATATTGTATAATTTCTGTACATCCACCCTTTGTCATCCCCCTAAAGGGGTCTTTAAGGTAATAAAATTAAATTAAATGTCACAATAGACATCAATTCACCTCCATACAGGTACCCGGTCTGTGACACACACGAAGTCGCTGCACTGTAGCTGGCTCAGTTGAATGTCCAAAACAGCAGGGCTACCAGGGCATGTTCGCACTAATCCAGGCACCTTGATTTTAATATCAGGTGTCACTTGAATAACATTTGGGATGTGAAAACTTCTCAAAAACGGCGACTCCACAACCTGAGCATACATGGTAGCAGCATGAGGGACGATGATGCAGTCCCACTGCAGGCAGAAGCAGAAGTTAACACATTAGTAAAATGAATTTTCACTTCTTTGCACAGACTTCAACAAAGACATAGCACATGACACAGGATACTGTACTTAATTCTTGGCTGGCAGTTGTTTAAATTTTTTGCACAATAGTATGTAAACACAGCAAAATGCAACAGCTGTACACATTCTGCTTTAGCGATAGCAGTAAGTCATCGGTCAGGAGTTGTAGATTACTAAAACAATACACAATTAAGATGTACAAAGGGGTCCATTTATACCTTGAACACTGCACCATATGGCCAGCGCTCCGCGGAGACTTCTTGTGGGCACTTGCCGAACCGACATGCAAGCGCAACGACAGCTGTAGGCGGGGCCTTCAGCGCATCTGCTAAAGCACTGCGGCTCTGCCGCTCTTGTTATGCCCATGCAAATCACTAGTGCGGCACGCAGCGCACCGACTGCTTCTTGTTCTGCCCAACTTTTACACCTTTGGTTTCCTCTCTTTTCTGCATGTGATGCTACAAGTAATAAACCTTAGCCCATCCATGAATAAAATCTCCAAACTGTGCTGAAGCTCACACAACAAGGCTACTCATTTGCAGAGGCATAAGCAGAGTTTTTTTTTTTTTTTTTTTTTTTTTGAAGGGAGAGGGAGTCACCCCACTTGATCTAAAGTGAGGGCCAAGCAGGCAAACGGTGATTTGGAGCTCTGTATGTTGAGCAAAACATTTCAAGGGTGTGTGTGTGTGTGTGTGTGGAGGGGGGGAGAAAGACAAGAGCCTGGTTTGCCACCCTCTGGCTGCGCCCCTGCTTAGTTGCTTTGCACCCAGTCAACAGGATATTCCCGCTGCTCATGCAATTTTTTTTATCAGCCTGAAGATTAGGCACCACAAAATTGGCGATGAATGCATAGTAAGGTCTTACATAATGGCTTTAAATGTGGGAAGTTCCTATACGTTAGCCACTTGAAAACAAAAGGATGAGGGCAGTTTGCCAATTTCAAAGTAGTGCCAACTCATTCAGGTGATACCAGCACCATTGCTTTCATGCACTAGCCTATATAAGTAGCGGACATGCCTCCCCAATTTTTACTCATTTGCAACCGCGCTTCTTTGAACCATTCTAGAAGCAATATTAAAAAGCATTCAAAACATAAAGTTTCCAGCAATCAGAGCAAAGAACTACCACTGTCAAACCTTTACTTGTCAGCAGGCACTGAATTCAACTTCACTCCCTTTATATCGCTACGCGACCCAAGGCCACCGCATCACTTTCTTTCTTGGCTCAACATTGAGCACGGCGTGGATAGTTTTCTTTGTGTCTTCAATTCACAGCGTATCCAAACTTATCTTTATTTTATTATGGACTTTATTGCATAAACTTTCAGCTGATGAAAACAATCGTACCTGTCAAAAAACTTTTCTAGTTAGCCCAAAACAGCTAAGTAGATTAGTTGTGGGAACTCCAGCAGGTGTTCCGAGATTGTGCCCATCCAAGGCTCAAGGTTTATTACTTGTGAAATCGCATGCAGAAAAGAAAGAAAACATGAGGAGCAAAAACTAGATAGTACGAGACGCTGCCACTGCGCTTCTCGAGAAGCGTGGTGCATTAGAGATTTGCATGGGTATAACAAGGGCAAAGTTACCTTCACAGCAAAGCAAGGACGATTCAGCAGAGCCACCACACTTTAGTAGATGATGCGGCGAAGGCCCCACCTACTGTTGTCATTGCACTTGCAAGTCAGTTCGACAAGCGCCCGCGAAAATCGTTCTGTGGAGCGCTAGCCGCGTGGTGCGGTGTTCAAGGTAGAAGTGGACGCCTTTGTATATCAATACCTGTATGCTTAAAGCACACTTTTTTTTTAGATCATTTCTCTTGCTTGACATGTGCTTCTACACTGCGGGAATACATGAAACTTTTGGTGGTGATGTCCCCCCTCTTTTTTTTTTTAATGCTTTACTACAATGTTGCGCTGGTTAGTTTGGTTTTGTTCTTCGGCTGATTTGTTACTTTGTAAAATGTGACAAATATGTTACTTTCTTATTTATTGCTCTTCAGTATGAGATTACGCCTGTTTCCGTGCAGCCTTTGACAGACACAAACAATGCCACTTAGGTTGCATTTCCTGTTTCAGGGACTTACAAAAACCGCTTCAGTTTTGATGGTGATAAGAATTTATTGATTCATATGTGAGGTTAGCGCCTCCATATTTTTTCAGTGCCCGGGCGAAGGAGTGGATTTCAATGGGAAGCGGCCATCGGTGCTAGTGTGGCGTTTCGCCACCAGGCGCTGCAACTGAAGTAGACATGCCACCGCACCGTCTCTCGCACAAACAAATGCCACGGCTGCATTTAAAGCTGCTATACGGCTCGGTTTTCGGCTGTATTCGCATTGTTTAAGGTGCAATGGAAACTAGGATACAAGAATTGTGAAGCATTTGTTGTTCTGGACACCCAGCTCATTTCAAAGGCATGTTTCGTTCGCGACTACTTGATTGAGGAGCTTGCGCGTCGTCTGCTAGGTGGATACCAGATAGCTCATGCCAGTGATCCGCAGAAGATCGTTTTGTGGCCATGGCGTTCGCTTGACTGACAGTTGTTTTTTTGACTAACTGGAAGTCGATTTTTGAGAGAAGCCTTTGCCAGGAACTAATATTAAAAGCTTGGGTGCCTAATGTTCCCTGATGCTACTTTCTAGTGGCGCAGCACATGATGCGCAAGCCTGAAGTTTACGCACTAAGTAGCACAAAGTTCCACTAGACTGCTTCCAGGAATATAGGTCATCATCCCTTCTCTTCGCAAAGCATTACATGTGTTGCCACCGAAAAAAAGCAAGTGTCAGAAAATGAGGAACTATGGCAGGTGATTTCAGCATTTGAGAGCTTAAACAATGAAATCATCGTGAAAAAAACGAAAACAGCTCCATATGCAGCGTGATTTCTGCAATCATGGCCTATGTTTTGAACAGGCACTGTTAAAGTATGAAGTCTATTGTCGAATCTCAACTTGAGACACGGTGACAGGCATGAAAAAAAATCACAGCATATCTACGGAGTGAATGATGATGAGTGGGCCAAAGCGTTGGAGGGTTTCATCGCTAAACTGTAAACCATCCACGAATATTGCCCACACATCATTGAAGACATAAGAAACACTATATATATATATATATATATATATATATATATATATATATATACAAAAAATCGTATTATTCGTAAGTGGTAGCTATACGTCGCTTCCATTCCCCCTTCAATATAACGGCTATGGTCGGTGAAGTGGTGGATCGGTGAAGGGGCGTAGTGGGATGTTTGCAAGGACAAAGTAGTGGGCAGTTGGCAAAGGTGGCACTTTAGGCAGTCAAGTACATACATGCAAGGGATGGACAGAGCCACGCCTTTAGGAGCTTTGCCTCTAAAATGCGGCCTGTAATCAGTTGCTTGAGCTTGTCTGTGTATTCATGGACGAATTGTTGTAGCCTTAATATCCGGCTGCTCAGCTCTGTTTCTTTCTTCTTCCCTCTGGCCTCTTAATTCAGTAGCAAGCAGAGTAGAGGTCAAACAGCTGTGTGGTGCCCATGGACTCCTATTCACTTTCGGAGTGTAACATTAGCGTTGTACGCGGCAGTCATCGCGAGGCAGCGTTGCTACTGATAGACTCATTTGTTGACTGTTCGGGTGCAGCGCCCTCCCGTTTAGTGATACCAATTCCGATGTTGCCAAACGTGGCAGGTACTCAGTCAGCTACCACTACTTATAATCTATAAAATAGTCTGGTTGTAAATGACGGCTACATATTAGAGTGTAGTACGAAAATTCACTAGGAGACCAATTGTTGTGCCCGATTACTGCAAGCATGCTCCCTTGAACACCAGCGAAAGCTACAGCCATACAGTGCATTAAGGCGATAGCGTTAAATGCCTCATCAAAAGTGAAACGTGATCGCCGCCGGCATCTTCTCGTGTCGGTGGCGTGAACACGAGTGATGCAAGATCATCATTACGTGAAAACCTCATCATATGACGTCACATACCATAAATGTTTGGGACGTATCGCACGATCACATAACTTGACGGCATCACATAACATCTTCGCTTGGTTGAAATGGGCCAATCATGAGGGCAGTGCATAACCAACTGAGCGGCAGAAAGCTAGCTTTGTCTCCAATCCTTGAGGCAGTAAGAAAACGATGTTAGATGCAGAAATATCACGAAGGGAAGTACGAAACATTCGGCGCATTGAATCGGAAGAAAATGAGGATAGTTCTTGCCTTTCAGTCTTTTCAGGTGAATCCATAAGAAGACCGGCAAGCTTTTTTTTTTTTTTTTTTTTTGTAACTAATGAGAAATGAAAGGCAATTTGATTTCTTTCTGTCAGATGTGCAGAGTGATACACCACAGTATTATATACTGAGGCATGCAAATGATGAGGTTGCAATGAATTTAAAGCGAAAATAAAATGCGAATGCTATAAAACTTGAATGCATATATCGAACCGGTAGCACGGCCTGAAAGAGCCCGGTGAAAACAGCACGCCGCTATGTTCGTGTTACTTTTCACCCCTCTGCAGACGTGAAAGTCGGCGAGAAGCACGAATGCAAATTAACTCGTATGAAAATGCGAATTCGCCAGCTTTATAATACGAGTGGCCGTTCAGCGCCAGCATCTCGTAGTCTACTCGTGCAGCGCCACCATGCGGCAGTGGTGAGTGGAGGCAGAGCGCGCGCACGACGGCCTGAAGAGAATGTTCGCCCGGGCACTGAAAAAAAGATAGGAGGTGCTGATGAGGTTTAACGTCCGAAAACCACTATGTGATTACGAGAGACGCCGTAGTGGAGGACTCCGGAAATTTTGACCACCTGGGAAATTTCAACCACCCAAATCTGAGCACACAGGCCTACAGCATTTTCGCCTCTATCAAAAATGCAGCCGCCACAGCCGGGATTCGATCTTGTGACCTACGGGTCAGCAGCCAAGTACCTTAGCCACTAGACCACCGCGGCGGGGCTGTTGGTGATGAAAAAAACATGGCTGATCCCCCCATATTATAGAAATCGGTATAACACAAAAGTGAAACAAGTTTTTACAGAAGTAGTTGAACGTTTATTGTGCATTTCAGCAACAAATTGCAAAGTCAGGTTAGGAAAGGCAAGCAGCTCGAAACTTGCAGCGCACACCTCAAGCAGAAAGCACGCATGAGATTGGTATACACAATACGTGCGCGGACTAACAACTGTCACGCTCGAAACTTGCAGCGCACACCTCGAGCAGAAAGCACGCATGAAATTGGTATACACAGTACGAGCGCGGACTAACAATTGTCATAGCTCAACACTTAAAGCACGCTGCTCAAACAATAATAAAAGCGCACAAAACGAGTGCACAAGATACACAGGACAAGCGTGAACAACTGTCACAATTCTTTCTGCGCCATTTGTCAGCAGCGTGTTCCTTCTGTAAACGCAACCATGGCAGCGTGTGAAGTGACATTTATCCTCTCCCAAATTACACGTCTGATAACTGCGCGCACAGGAGAGACCACGTTCCATGGAGGCAGCGCTTTGTGGAGACGACAACCTTTAGAACGCCCAATGCGAGCCTGTCTCGCCACTGATAAAAAAAGCTCGCTGAAGTTTCGAAGCTCAGAGGACTGACAAATGACTTACAGTGTATATAAATGGCTTGCCGTTAGCATACCAGACAACGTACGTTCTGTGGCATAGTGGTTAGTGCCACGCGCTGAGAATCGAAAGGGTGCTGGTTCGATTCCGCGACAGATGCTTGGCTTCTGGCTTTTTTTCTTTGCGATCTCTTACTTATAACTATATCTTTTTCAATGTCACTTCCATGACGGAGGTGTACCAGCGGAGCCATGGTAGACTCCAGCATAAAACAATTTTGTGTTAACATTATTACAGCTTTCAGACTAGTTTTCACATCTGGATGAAGTCGCAACTACACAGTTTTCTTCAGTGCCTGCAGGTTGCTTTTGCTGTGAAAGTGAGTGCTGGTTTCTTCGTCGCAAGTGAGTTGAGTGGCAATTTCTCCTCAATTCCTCCAAATTAATGCTTAATTGCAGAATAAGAATCTGATTCAGTAAATGTCAGCCCTTCATACGAGGAGCTACTGACAAGACTCAGGTGCGATCAGTAAGTGATAGTTCAAATGTGTGCGTGGCAAGACAACGCTATCTAAATCAAAAGCGACTTCCTTCCCACCTTGTTTTCACTTGATGCCACTTTGTGCACTTATATTTTAGTATGTCTGAGAACAACACACAAAACACAATTTTTTTAACAGTTTTATAGATTTTCAAAAGAATTTTTGCTGTTACAAGTAAACCATGGTTACATAAAAACACAAATGATTTTTTGTCACTTTACGATGACCCCAAAAATTTTGAAGTTTCTTTATACACCTGAAAAAATTATTTTGCAAAAAAATTTTTGTGGGGGGACACATTTCACTAAAAAATCGACCCTCAAAAGATTATGCACCTTTTGACAAAGCCACATGCAGATGACTAATAATACGCTAACACTGTTGATCACAGGGGACATGCTTCTTTAATTCCCTCATCATTACACCATATGTTCAGGTGGCCTGTAAAACTACAGACTATCAACCTTGACATATTTCTGTCAAGTTTAATAACAGAAAACATATTTCATGAGTCACACATGTTCAACACTCAAAGCAGATGAAAGTAACTTTCAAACATATATGTGATGTAACTATTAAGAAGAAAACTGAAAATGCTTGCCTACCGTTGCAAGTCGTCTAAGTGCATCTCTGAAGATTTCAAGTGCACCTTCTCCAATTAGCTCAGTGTCAAAGACCTCCGCCACAATAATATTGGCGCGTTCAGTCATGTCCTGGTCTGTTGAAGAATGAGGTAAAGAAAAAAAAGGGAGGGGGGGAAATCAAAACTTCATATCTTGCCTATTCTAATGATTCTTGCAGCACTTTACGGTTGCACCACTTTATAAGTAACACTGATGCAACAGACAAATGGGTATGAAGATGACAGTGTGCCTACATTGAAATATTCAGCTGTATAATACTAAAACTTTGTAATCGGTAGTGATATTTATGCGCCATCTTTCTGCTGTATTTCTTCCACAAGTTATCCTTTCTTTTTCACAGGCTCCTCTCCGTACCTGCAGTCACAGCAGTAGCAGTGCTTCAGTGCTCGGCTGCTCACCCCGAAGGCTGTGGGTTCAATCCCGGCCACTGTGGTCGCATTTCGATGCAGGTGAACTGGTAGAATATTAGTTTAGCGTGTGCAACGGCCTTGCGCAGGCACCAGGTGAGAGAGAACAAGATTGTGCTTGTGCTGAATCTAAGAAAGATACGTGAGTTTGCACGGGCTAGAGATGCGCATACTAGATCCCTGCGCTTACGTAACACCCACTACAGGGTTCGTACAGGTTTCCTTCCAAAGGGAAAATTCAAGGATATTCAGGTTCTTTCCAGGACCTGTTTCAAGTTTTTTAAGGACTCAAAGCGGCATGCCAAGTTAGAATTCTTCAATCTAAAATTTTCGAAAATGACCAATTTCATTGCACTTATATGGATATGGTAATTATAAAAAAAAAAGCATAGTCTTAACTTCTCGCAACCTCTCCACAGGGAGAGGGCACAATAGCATGCCGGAAAGTTACGCGCTGATGGGCTTCCATGCGCATGTGTAGTCAGGCCTTAAAGGGATCATGCCACAATATTTGTTGCTTGCGTGTTCTTTGCTGCAAGCTTTAATTATAGCTCCAATAAGTACGATACACACACCAAGATTCATTTATTCTCGCCATATAATTTGTTGCTTTTTTGATATGGACAATTTTAAGTTCCTGTTTCTGGTGACCGAGTTGTGCAGGTACATAGCTGTGTAGCTGACTTAGTCACGTGATCACAAAGCTTTGCACACGTCATGCTGCGTATTGTCAGCTCTCGCATACAAGTGCCACACAAGCACCTGCAAAAACTCGCCGCTACTTGCAGCAGCCGTGATGCTTTGCCGGTATGTACGGGGCAGAAGTTTGTAAGTCAATCAGCTGACTATAGATCTGGTGTGACATCGCTAGAACTTTTGTTGCCCTTCCTGTAGAGTTACGTCATTGTTGGACGCGCTCGCGATGGGCCTCGATTAGGAGAATGAGCATTTAGGCACACTTGGGAAGTGACTTAAAATATATTCTTAAAGAGCCACTCACCAGGTTTGACAATTTTGAGCTGACAAGCGCAATGCGTAGACGAGGCGTTCATGATCATGTCTGCCAAAATTTGCAACGCTACACGCCGCGAAAATGGGTCAAATTTCAAGATGAACGCTGCTCCCCCTCCCCTCTGTCGGCGCACGCGTAGAGAATGAGGGCATGACGTAGGCATAGGAAAGGCCCTACGTACACGGCAATGCAGTGACGTTGGTCCTCTACGTAGACGACTGCTCTGACGGTGTCAACAGTATGCCACGTGACATGGCAAAAATTATTTAACACAACACGCGTAGTTTATGTATTTGTTGGTTAAGAGATGAATCAAACTTGAAATAAATAATGAAATGCAATAAAAAATTGGGCACGTTTTTCTTACATTTTTTTCCATGAAATGCTACGAGATGCGGGGCTAATGTGCCAGCGTTTCGCATGCGTTCAGGTCTCCGCGTTTAGCGCATTGAGCAGAAGACCACCGTGGAACGCTCCTACGCGTTCGCGCACTCATTGTGCTCATCTACTCTATCGCGTCTAAGCCAGCGTTTCCAAACAATCCCGCAGAAACAGGCAGAAGACCACAAAATAACGCTGGTCAACAAAGCAACGCCGCTCACGTGCACGAGGGCTGGGCTTGTTCGGTCACGTCATGCGCACGTCACCTCTTGGTCGGATGCCGGAGAGGGTGAGGAAGAGATTTGGCTTGCGAAGGCTACGCGGTGGAGCGGCAAGGGTTTCGAGCTTGCCTCCTCTCACCCTCGTTTCTTGCCGCTTCAAAAAACCTGTTTTCTCCGCTCGTTATGAACCGATTCGAAAAATTTTTGTGGCAAAATGTTCCTCATGGGACACCCAACAACTTCCACTGCCTAACTAAAATTCGGTATGGGGCCTGGTGAGTGGCCCTTTAAACCCACAAGATGCTTGCTATCGCCTTGAAATTTGATGGCCACCACCCCATCACGAGTGCCGGCTTGTGCACAGTTGACACTCGCAGCACATTGCTCAACAACCAAAAAGTAACAACTGTGACAGTGGTTAATTTACACTCAACCTTTGGATACATGTGTGTTCTTTTCTAGCACCGTTCTTGGTTTGTTTAAGCAGCACACTTTCAGTGTCGAACTATGACAGTCGTTCATCAGCACTCGCCGTGTGCATTTCCTTTTTGCTATCACATTCACTGCTTCCCCCTCACCACAAACTTTTTTTTTCACATGCACTTTTGCAAAATGGGATCATGTGCACCCACGCCGCATTGCTGCTTCAGAAATGGGGAGTTTGACAGGTTCACACACCGATGTACCACATTTAGGAGGTCGCAATGTTGATATGAGAGTGCACTGCTCAGGTAATTAAGAGATTTTCAAGGATGGCAAAAAATTCCAGGACTTTAAAGGGCCTTGAAAGCGCATTTTTCAAATTCAATGACCTGTACGAACCCTGCACTATGACCGATGCGTACATTACCGGCAGCTGTCTCGCAAGATCTCGACAGCAGTGCTGCGGTGAAAAAAGGCCACGTCCATCGGCTACTGCAGTTCATTTCTTCGTCTATAGATGGCACAGAGCAGCACTCAAATTCAAGGCTGTTTATGCTGAAGCGCACTCCACGTTTCGGTTGTTGCATACAGTAAACTAACGCTATACGTGACAGCCTCAGCCGTTCCGCACCCGAAGCCCCATTCGTTGTGTTCCTTAGGTGTTGCACTCGCTAAACTAAAACTGTCTAACACCTTAGTGTTAACTGTAGGTCTAACGAACACAAGAATAATGGCAAAAGGAGTGAACAGAGGAATAAAGTGTGAATAACATACCTGATACCCTTTTGTTGTGCATTCTTTGAATAAATAAAATGCACGCTTTCTACTTAAGCCAATGCAAAATGCATGCCATGTGAATAGACCAAAAGAAGTGATCTCATAAGCCACTGGCACCTCAACTGTATTGCCAATTATGTGTAGTAGAACTGGTAGCATACACTTGTGCATGCCATAAAAAGAAGACAGGTCAGGCTTGAGCTATGATCGGAACATTCTAGGCCACCGGAGTGAAATAACATGAGTGCATCATTGCTGGTCAGTCACTGCTGTTAATCGCATCTAAAGTAAATCTGGTAGACGGCTTAACACTGTGTAACAGTGTCAGGCCATCTGTATAGCATAGCACTGTGTGTGCAATAGCATAACAATGCAATAAAAGGAAAAATACAGTTAAACACAGCAAACAATTTGGCGAAAAGTCAAACAAGAAAACTGACAGGCTTAGGCTCGAATTCAGAAAAGTGAACCTGAAGCAAAATTAGTTTCCCTTTTTTCAAAATGCCAATGTCAGAATGCATTTCAATGTTATATTTAGAGTTTATACTAACTTTCTGCAAACACTATATCCTGTTGGGGATGCCAGATATGTGACGTGTTGCTAGGATCGTCCCCTTGCAGAGTGTGGGGCACTTGGAAGATGAACGAGATGAATGGTGCTTTTAAAAAACAAATTATTCTGGACAGCACACATGCATAAAATGCACAAAACAAACAGAGAATATATAGTAAGCAGATAAGGTCAAGGATTTACATTGGTCTGTGGCTTTTAAAGGGCCCCTCACCAGGTTTCTCAATTTTGAGCAGACAAGCGCAATGCATACATGGTGCGTTCACGTCTGCAAAAATTTGCAACGCTATGCACCGCAGAAATGGATCATAATTCAAAGTGAACGCTGCTTGCCCTTCCTTTCGTGGGCGCGCGCTCAGAGAATGAGGGAATGACGTAGACAACGGAATCGTCCTATGTAGATGGTAGTGCTGTGACATTGGTCCTCTACGAAGATGACTTTGCTCCGACGTCAACAATAGTAGCAAGTGACATGGCGAAATTACTTCATACGATGTGTGTGTAGTTTGTGTAATTTGTTGCTTGAATAAATGAATAAGACTTGAGATAAATAATTAGACACATAAAGAAAATTGGTGCATCTTTTTCATTTTTTTTACCCCATGAATTGCAACAAGATGCAGAGCTAATGTGCCTGTGTTTCGCATGCGTTCGTGTCCCCGTGGTGAGCGCATCAATCAAAAACCAGCCCTGGAAACAAAAGTATTGGTCCTGTGCATTCAATTACTCATTATGCTCATTATTCTACTATGTCTAAGCTAGCTAGTGTTCCTAAACGAGCGCGTACCGAAGGCATCCATTCTACAGAAACAGGCAGCAGACCACAAAATAACGCTAATCAACGAAACAACGCCGCTCAGGTGCTTGGGGGTCGGGCTCGCTCCAGCACGTCATGCGCACGTGACCTCTTGCTCGGATGTTGGAGAAGGCAAATAAGAGCTTTGGCTTGCGAAGGCTACGCGCGGCGAGCAGCAAGGGTGTCAAGCTTGCCTTCTTGCATCATAATTTCGGGCCGATTTAAAATGATGGTTTTGTCAGCTCGTAATTATTTGATTTTAAAAAATTATTGTGGCATAATGCTCTTCTTCGGACACACAACTGCCAGTGCCTAACCAGAATTTGTTATGGGACCTGGTGGGGGACCCCTTAATAAACACACAATTATATCCATGGCACATACAGACGAAATACATCGCCAACTAAATAGGGCATATACAATAAACAGATCATCCCATGGATATACAGTGATCTGAGGCAAATGTCGTAGACCACTGTGTATCTAATGGTGCAATTTAGAACAAGTTCAGTTGATGCAACACATGAGAAAATGTAGATGCGTAGTAGGACTGGCATAAAGTGATGATTCTACCTTAACTTTTACTTTACCTATTCTTTCTTTTCCTCTCAAAATGACAGCACTACAAGCCTCCTAGTTACCCCCGAATGCAGAGATGTTACTTGACTCGTTCTTGACTCAAGACAGTCTTGCCGGTCACCATAAATTGTTCTCAAAGTTACGGGCGACTTGAAGGCGACTTGGAACGGTCGAAGTCAGGACAAGTTTCAAGTCAGCTGCGGGGCTAGCTTGAAAGCGACTTCATGTGTTATTTCAACATGGCCACCTCTCGAATGGACGTCGCACGGAGGGTGGCCGCTTTTGAGTTTGCTTGTCTCGCCATAAGCGTAGCATTTTCTGAGGCGCACTGCCTGCCGAAGATTCTTGGACCCGCTTCACGTGACCAAGAAAATCGGATAAAATTGTACGACGGGCAACAATTCCACGCTCGGTACAGATTAAAGAAGAACGCCGTGCGGCAGCTGCTGGTTATGTTGCCGCTCCGAGAAAGTGGGGACAACCGAAGACAGCCTGTGCCTCCAGTTTTACAGCTACTAATTGCTCTCAGGTTTTACAGCACTGGCACATTCCAAACAGCCACCGCGAATCTCCTCCGCATTCCGTAGCCGACAGTTTGCCGTGCAGTCGGAAAAGTTACGCTATTCATCGCAAAGCACCTGTACGCGATGCTGGTGCGTTTTCCGCAGCCGACGGCGGCACTTTCTATAGTTATGCGGGGCTTATATGAAATGGCCGAGTTCTTTGGCGTTACAGGTTGTGTCGAGTGCACACACGTGCGTATAGTAGCCCCGGTGATGACGACGCTCAGCATTCCCTGGAACCAAAAATGTGACTGGCCACCAAGAAATATGTCCAAATTATCAACCATCCTGTGCTCAAGCAGACAAAAGTTTGAGCCATGATAAGCGCGTCTTAAGCTATATAATTATAACAGAGAAGAATACACAAAATATTTACGTCAGCACTTCAAAATTCAATGTACAGGTTAAAAATGAAGTAAGGCAAACACAAATGTAGGTAAGTCAATCACTATATTAGTAAATTTTTGCACCAAAAGCAATTCGATATAAAACAAAAAGTGAGAGAGAGCAGACTACAGGGTAAAGACAAGTGTATCTTACCAAATCCAACGTGTATCTCTGTGGATCTTTTTGGAATGAGTTGTATACTGTCTTGGAGCTTGTTGTCTTCTATAACCTGCTCCGCACACTTTGCTACCGGCTCGAATGCCTTTTTTCAGCAGAATAGAGAGATAAGAGAGACAAAAAGTCAATGCATACAACATATGCAAACTATACTCTAGGTCCAGTACCAGGTGACAACTATAACTAAGACAAGATCGAACATGAAGGAGTAACACTTTAAAAGGGTAAAGCTATATGTTGTGGCTCATTCATGTTCATCCTTGTAAAAGTACTGGGACAATACGATGGATACATCACAAACTGCCCAGATTTCAAGCATTAATAATAAACATTTTTTTTTAAAGGTGAGATATTAAAGTAATGATGAAATGGTTTTGATTATGCTGTACAGATGCATTGCGCCAGCAGAGCAAGTCCTAAATTAGCAAACTTAGGACTTGCCCAGCAGGCTCAATGCATGTGTGTGTGTGTAAACTGTGTAATTTATTACAAGGCTTTAAACCTATGAATTTCAGTGGCTCAGTTAAACAACTTTTCAACCACCCATTTCCTTAATATATACCAGCGATCAGTACAAATGAATGTTCCATCTTTTGTGACTATTTTTCCAGCCTAAGTGTGAACAAATGTTGTTAGCAATAGCTGAAACACATTCTAATTTACTTTACTTAAAAAATGAAGTAACAGAAAGAAAATACACAGTCACAATTTACTACTATGCTTGGCTGTCTCCAGTGAACGATGAGCTTCGTTTGCCTGTGTTACAACAACGTGCTCCATGTTTACACGAGCTACCCGACAGTGTTCATCTCAAGGGTTCTTTTCTTGGGTGCGATTAAATGCCCTAGCTATGTAGCAGGCTACTAACATAGCGACTGGTGAAATGTCAAGCTGTGACATTGTGCAGCAGAGTCACTTCGGCTCATCGGAGCAGCGAGCGTAGGGGCTCTGGCAATCAACACCAGAATCTATGCATCTGCAGCCACAACAGCACCCCCAAAGCCATAAACACATTTCTAGTGCTTGTGATGATCAACAATTCTTTTTGAATACTTTTAGTTTATCTGCATACTTCTTCGGCATTTCCAAATTATCCACACACTGGGGAAAGAAATGCAAGTAGCCAGCACTGCAACAGTCCCCGGGAGTCCAAAGCTCAACCACATGCTTCTTTCTATGTGGCCTGTGTGATCTACTTCAGTAGCACACTGTCGCACTCCCGAAGTCTTTTAGTGGGAACCATGCCAAGAGATGCACAGTTTAAGGATGAGTAAAAGCAGCAGGAAAAGAGGATAACATCTGACTGTCAGTAAATGCCATGATACAAAGTACATCACTTAATTTACAGTGCAAGTGACTAGATTATGCTGTTGCCAAAATGCTGACAAAATTAGAAGACAAAAACACTTTAGGCACCATTTAATGCATCCGTTATGACAAATTTCAAGTTGTAGTGTCTGCTACTACAGGGGTCCGAGACAGCATGGAGTCGTCTCACAAAATTTTAAGTAACTACCAGAACACGTGACCATGGAAAGAAGGGTACCACGCTGCTCCAAGAACCAATGTGAGCAAGTTGCCCATTCTAAGGATGAGGCCATGCATCTACCACGGGAACGATGTCCCGGCTGTTGATGCGCAGCCCCAAGTGCACTGACAATGCATAAAAAAATGCAGCCAACTGTTGAATCAAAACATGTGAAAAATAAACTATTTGTTTGAACAGTTGCATGGAACTAGGATGTTTTCTAAACTTTTCCCAATTTTAGTTTAGCTAACCTTGAAATAACACCACATACGGCGTGCCTAATAATCATTGAGTGGTTATGACAGGCATAGCCCTCGAAATTATTAAAATCACACATTTGTGCATCAGAAATATAAAACACAGTAACCAAAATAAAAAATTTTAAATTTGCACAAGAAAAATGGAGTCCATTAAAACAACAGTACTACTGACGTACTTGTTGCAAAGTTTTCAGCAGTAACTAAAAATTTTTCACTAAGTGCAAGAACACTGAATTCTAAGCACATATAGCTGTCCATGTGACTCCTGATGGTTTTTTAAACCATAGCCCGCAAATACACGTAACGTAGCAAAATTGAATGGTAGTGTGCAGAGCATCTCTGTTCCTGAGCCAATCGAGCTACAAAAAACGTGTTGATAGCTCAAACTTGCATCTGGTGATAGGCAGCTAGGTCGTTCACTATGCAAAGCAACCCTTGTATTCAATGATCACTATTTATTTGCAGAGATGCCCTAACCCTACTGTGGTTAGGTCACCCAAACTTCACACATTACAGTGTTTTTTTTTTTTTTTTCAATGAAGTTTTCTACTACTAGACTAACAATACCGTGAAATTCAGTGGCCAATGACCACAAGCGCTGTCCTGGAACCCAGCCTCAACTGACGAACGCTACCGGTCCTTCAACGATGGCGCTGGTGTTACATCGTCAGAGCCTCTGGGATCACCGATGACGTCACCATGTAACGATCCTTTAAAAGACAGCGCTTACGGCACAATCGGCAGTGGGCACGGCGGCGTCGTAAAGACGCAGCCTTCAAACCCGTTCCTGTTTATCCCGCAGGTGAGCAGACGCTATGACAAGTCTTTTCGCAGTAACGATGTCTGCCTAATTCTGCTGCCGTGCCCACGGTCGCTTCGTGAAGCCTTTTGTAAACTGATTGTTTCCTTGCGCTGGTTGCTACTGTTGAGCGGAGATGTTGAGTTGAACCCAGGCCCTGCACTAGACGCCATAGCCGAACAGCTAAAGCAAATTGCAGGAGACATTCAAGATATTAAGAAAGAAAAATCCGCAACAAACACCAGACTTGACGCGATTGACAAAAAACTTGAAAAGATAACTGGCCTTGAAAAACAGGTCACTGAGTGCAATAAACGAATATCTAACTTAGAAAAAAACCTAAAGGCTATGCAAATGAAAGTGGATGATCTAGAAAACCGGAGCCGTCGGTCCAACCTTGTCATTTACGGTGCTGAAGAACAACAAAATGAATCGCCAGACATGCTTGTCGAGTTGGTCGAAAAGAAGATTTTAGATGGTGTGCTACAGATAAAAACCAAGGGAATCGAAATAATCCACCGTCTAGGAAAAAAGAAGCCAGTTGGTATATCTAGACCCAGACCCATTATTCTAAGACTACTCGATCATCGAGACAAAGTTTCAATCCTCAGACAGTGTTCAAAGCTGAAGGGCTCAGGTTTCTCTATCAGTGAAGACTTTTCTCGTAATACTCGGGACATTAGAAAGAAACTGTGGGATCGAACGAAAGAACACCGGGACAGGCAAGAAAGGGTGTCACTGGTGCGCGATAAAGTGCGAATCAACGGTCAACTTTTTGCTTGGGATAGTGAACGAGAAGATATATATGCAGTGAAAAAAAACGAAGTTGGCATAGAAAAAAGAGTCACTCGAAGTCGACAGAAGTAACCCTGTTGAATGTGAACGCACGTAGTCTTGTAAATAAAGTAGACCAATTCGAAGCTCTCCTTCTAGAAATTAAACCTGACATAGTTGCTGTCACGGAAACATGGCTGTACTCGGACATCCTAGACCATGAGGTCACGCCGCCAGGTTATGTGATTGTGCGCAAAGATAGAGAGACTAGAGGAGGGGGCGTGGCACTTTTTTTCAAGAAGGAATTGCGCTACTCTGTCTTACCGGGCAACCCTAGCATTGAAGCGGTATGGTGCAAAGTGCAGCTGCAAAGGGGCTGTGTATTTGTTGGAGTTATTTACCGACCACCTAATGCTGAGACAAGTTATCTGGAACTTCTTCTGGATTATATGCACGATCACGTGACGGGTGGTATGATCATCATGGCTGGAGATCTCAATCTGCCTGAAATAGAATGGTCATCAAAAAAAGTGCGAAGTGCTGCAAATGACGTCATATTAGATATGTTGTTCAATTTTAACCTCGAACAACTGGTGCGCGTCCCCACACGTGTACAGGGCGTATCCAGCTCTATTCTAGATGTTGTGCTCGTTAGTGATCATTTTCCAGAAGACCAGGCGCGCATCGAAATCTTAGACGGAATATCTGATCACAACTCAGTCCTATGCACACTGCCTCTATCTGGTCTTTCTAGAATCCATAGCCCCGATAGACACGTTCTTGCCTTTAACAGAGCAGACGACGCAGCAATAATAACATATCTTAATCACGAATTCCTTGCCTTCTATGATCTTTGCATGGACAAAAATTTATCAATGGATCACATATGGTTACAATTCAAGGCACGTGTCATTCATTGCATTGAGAACTTTGTCCCCACACAGCGAAAAACTACAAGAAAGCATAATGCCTGGATCACACGTGACATAATTCATATAAAACGTAAAATCAGTAGGCTGAGGAAAGCTAGGAGGTCTAGCTCACGAGCTGGCTACACCGCTCAGATCGCCACTTTATCAAGAACACTGAAAAGCAAAGTACGCTCTTCAAAAATTCACTATTTTGGTACCACGCTAGCAAAATTCATCAAAACCTCGCCAGGAAAATTTTGGCGCTATGTAAGTGGCAAACACAGTGGCCAAAACGCCTCCCCCTCGATAGACACAAAAGATAAGGCAGACAATTTCAACCGCTACTTTCAGTCCGTCTTTACGATCGATAATGGGCTAGTGCATCATCCCGAGATTAGGCCTCCCACTGACAAGAAGTTATCTAAAACTCCGGAAATAACTGAAAGCGGTATACTAAATCTGCTGTTAAACCTCGATGATAAAAAGAGTTGTGGTCCAGATGGGATACCGAACGCTTTTCTCAAACGGTATGCGGAACCGGTTAGTAAGTACCTGCGCTTACTATTTACAAAATCTATTCAAGATTCGCAGATTCCCTCTGAATGGAAACTTGCAAAAATAATCCCTGTGCATAAATCTGGGGACAAATCGACTCCATCAAACTACAGGCCCATTTCCTTAACTTGCACTAGCTGTAAGCTACTCGAGCACATTATCCTTAAATTCATTACAAAGTTTGTCGAAGAAAATAACCTATTACACCCCAACCAACACGGTTTTCGGAGAGGCCTATCGACCGTAACGCAACTAGCTGAAACAATTCACGATCTGGCCGAAGCCATTAATCAACACTCCCAAATTGATATAATCTTTATGGATTTTTCAAAAGCGTTCGACCGGGTTTCCCATGAAAAGCTAGTTTTCCAGCTGGTTTGCAAACTCGGGGATGGGCCAGTGACCCGTTGGATATCCAACTATTTGTCCGGTCGCCAACAATTTGTACACTGCAGTGATCACGTCTCTGACACATTAAACGTTACGTCCGGTGTTCCTCAGGGATCCGTCTTGGCACCGATATTATTTCTTCTATTCATAAACGATCTAACAGTCAACATTAACGCAAACATAAGGCTTTTTGCAGACGACTGCATATTGTACAAACAGGTTAAAAGCTCCAGAGACCAAACTGAACTGAACGATGCCCTGAACGACGTTGTACGATGGTGTTCTAACTGGCAAATGGTGATTAATTCTGACAAAACAGTCGCCATGCAAGTAACAAAAAAGAAATCACGTCTACCTTTCCATTACGGTTACAACAGCATCGTGCTACGAAATGTAAGCCAGTATAAATATCTTGGTGTGACTATAACTTCCGATCTCAGTTGGACAGTACACCTAGAAGACATAGCCGAGAAAGCCTTAAAAAAATTATTCTTCCTTAAGCGGACGCTGCGCCACGCTGACCGCGACACTAAGCTTCTAGCATACGTCACACTTGTCAGACCAATCTTGGAGTATGCGAGCATAATCTGGTTTCCATTCACGGATAGTGGTATCAGCACGCTTGAAAGAGTGCAGCGCAAAGCGATTAGATTTATTTTTAACCGGTATCGTCGCCTCGACTCCCCAACACAATTACTACGCCACGCAGATTTGCCGACACTCGAAAGTCGAGCAAAAATTCATCGTCTAAAGTTCTTATACCTGTTATTGCACAACTGTCTTAAAATAGACCACGCTAAATACGTGAAAACCAAGACAACAAGGCAAACACGTCACACACATGATCACACACTCCAAGAGTACTCTTGCAACAATAACACATTCTATTATTCTTTTTTTCCTAGATGCATTCGAGAATGGAATGCTCTTGACCGACTTATAGCCGAACAGCGTACAGTTGATGACTTTCTAGCAATGTTGCAAAATACACATAGCACTTAATCATAACGCTGATTACATAGTATGTATTGTATTTTCATTTCCTTGTGTACTTCCTTGAATTGACTTGCTTGCCAACATTTGTATTTGCACCAACTTTTACAGCTATGATTTATTATCCTTCTTTTCTTTTCTACGGGTGTAAAATATGTTTAATGCGCCCACTACCACTTTAACTCGTACATGCAGCCTCCTTAATTTGAACTTGTTGAGAAAGGCTGCTCGGTCCAAAATTGATTGTTACTATTGATGTGAATGTTTTCTGTTTTTCTTTTGTTCCCCTTCGCTCCCACTCCTGTAATAACCCTGCAAAGGGTTAACAGTATGTGAAAATAATAAATAAATAAATATAAGAACACACACTGCGTCGATCGGATGTATTTATGTCGCTTTTCCTAGTGAGCAAGATGGATGGAAAAATCTTTTATTGAGAATTACTGAGCCACATGTCTTCTGTGAGGATAGGGGGTCTTAAGAAATGAACATCACAATGGCGATAAATCGGGCTAGGTGGTTGTTCATGACCGCAAAAAACAGCGCACAAAGCAGCGCTCGTTTGTCTCTGTGTTCATCCACCGTTTTTGCAGTTTTTCTTTTTACAATTTCAAGAAGAGAATTGAAGGCGTTATTGCTTGCAAAAGCATACCTCGCAGGCGTACACAACGTCGGCGCCGTGCTTGGCGGCTATCATGGCCAAAAGCCCCGAGCCTGTGCCGATGTCGAGAACGACTGCGATGTTTCCTGAACTGTGCATTTCGTCAATGGCTTCGCACAAGGCTGCATGGTATTTGTTGTTCTGCAAAACGAAAGTAGGACAGTAAGTTTGGAAAAATCACAAAGTGCACATGCTGGAAAGAATAAAAGTGCGCGTTACCCTTTCGTGATCGTGGAGCATGTCGGCGAACGCAGACCTGAAAGAATAGAAACGCAGCGTCAATCGCGTCTCACAATGCAGCCCTATTGATGGCAATACCTCACAAACATAACACGCGATAATGAGAACAGATGGTAAGTATGCATGACTTGTTCTTTGCACTCGCATCAACGTGTTGCCATGATCACCACAGCAAAACGCTGGTCGGCCAAGATTCTGGCAACTTACCGCGCAATCTCTTGCTGCAGGCCGAAGTCTTCGCCCACATCGGGGTCTCCGTTCATTCTCGTTAGCTCCATTTTTCTGGCTTGACACCAGCGTGCTAACACCAGCGTCTTAAGCTCTCACAAGCTCTCTCCTTACTCGGAACGCTTGACATGCTCAGCAAGCCCACGTGCATCCGAGTAGCGTCTATGACCAGACCAGTGCTGCCAGATGACCCTAAGACAAAATTCGTAGCCGCAGCCGCTAAAAATCAGCAGATTATGCAAAAAGTCCGTAGATTCATTAAAAATAAATTTAATAACATAAGTTTATTTATTTGCGTATGTTAGTAATTATTTTATTATATATATATTTATTACTACTTATTAGGCACTTACAAAAATTTTGCATAAAATAAATATAGCAAACCTTTTTCGCGATTACTAGAGCCACGGATTCCTTCCTCCGTGACTAGAGCACTGCTGGCCAGCCACGGCCAGCCCTTGGGCCAGCCTCCGTGTGGCCAGCACACAGTGTGTTTCTTCCGCGGTTAGGGTGGCTTCTTCCCAGTTAGCATGTAGCAGTGTGGCGGAATGGGCACCTCCATTCCATTCCAATTCCCCTCCGGAGAATTAGAACCACAATTTCATTTTTTTTATTTCCTCGGAATTAAAAACTTAGCCCATTACCACTCCAGAAATGGCTGGGCAGTTCAATTTCATTCCTGTAATTCCTCAGTGTAGGAAATACCCCTAGATAGTGTTTTGTGAACACGTACTTCGAGGCGATTTCGACCGGCGGCGGTGTGGAGGTCGTCCAGAGTCGGCGGCGGCGGCGTTGTCGGCGCACACCGATTATTTCATCGGAGGCGGCGGCGCGTAAACCGAAACTAAAAATTCAAAAGGCTATTCTGCCACAGGTTACTGAATTAGTTGAAATTCAGAGATTTTCATCCAAATAGCGTAAATGACACTTACAGATGTGTCAACAACACGCTGAATGCAAAGCGTTTTGTAAAATAGTTTTTATTTCGCTTTCATAATAAAATACGCGTATTCCAATCTATGTCCATGCTCTACCACGAATGTGCAGCACTTTGCTTGTTTTTTTTTTTTAATTTACGATGTAGCAGTTTGTTTCTGTTGTTGGTTACGTCAAACTTTATGAAACCTTCTTTCATTGAACATTGAGCAAGCACCGACGCACGTCACTCAGTTCGATTTTTTCGAATCGGATCTCACTTTTACATTGTACGCTGCATGAAAAAAGACGCACCTATGCTACGAGTTTTCTTATTGCGATTGCAGGAAACCACTTTTTTGGGTATCTGTCATGCCTTGAATGTTATTTCTTTCAAACGAATCAAAATACCTACTTTTCACAATGTGAGAATGTTTTATGCAGCGTATAAGATGCGGAAGAAAACAAATCTGCGCATTTAGTCAACTAGTCCTCACCGCAGTGTTCAATTAATGAAGTGTAGACATGGGCATGGGCGAGGCGGGTGGTGCAAAAGGGGCACTTGACCCCTTCAAGCCGCACCAGCACTTGCTACCCACTCTAGCGACACCAACACGACCCTCTCCCTCAGCCGTATTGCAAGTTGAAAAAAGGGTTTGCATCCCCCCCCCCCCCCAAGACAAAAACCTGTCGATGGTCACATGTGCAGATGAGAGCAAATGCAATATTTGCTCAGATACACAGTCCATACAGGTCACGACCTGGACGCCCGTTGACCACGCCTGCAGAGAACTTTGACTCCCCGACCCCTTTGTGCTTGGTCAGGGGAGGGAGACACCCCTTGCAAGTGGGCCCCATTAAAATTTATCTTAAAAACGTCACAAATAAGAATGCTTGATAAGTATGTATAAAACATTCAACTTTTTAATGCTTTTTTTTTTTTTTTTGTAGCGTGTTCACGTGCTCAATACCCATCAGCTGTGTGAGACATTTGAAATCGCAACTGCCACTCTCGACTGGTTCCGGAAAAGACTCAATAGAAGAATGCAATTACGAGTGCTGGGAACCTACGTTCGTTTGTCAATTTGATTTCTAGGCATGATTTTAATTCTTATATATAAAAAAGAACCTGCAACATAAAAAAACAAAATGGCTGCTATTGCAAGATGCGTGTCCCCCTTCGTAATTTTTCTAGACTTGCGCGTCTGCAAGGCACATCTGGTGCCACAAACTTGTAATTGTCCCTCCTCCTCCCCACGACATCTCCGAAGTTAGTCTCAGTCCTAGTGAGTCCAAAGCAAAATATTTTTATATATGCTTATTGAGTTAGTCTGAAGGAGTTCCATTTAGTTTGCCAACCTATGCCGTACGTGCACTCTTTTTTGTATTTCGCAGAGTGTAGTCTGAGTGTTGTTTGCGAAATTCACTATAACCTTGCTCGTTTGAATGGCGAATTCGGTTTTGATATTAAGCAAAATCGTTTGTTCCAGGTGTTAAAAGCTGAACAATATTGCTGTTACTTTTCTGTCATACATGCATCCAGAAACCTTGCCGAAATGTTCTATTTGCATTTCTTTCAGGTAGCGGCGCAAGGGGTCGGCACGGGGGAGCTGGAGCCCCCCCCCCCTCAATTTTTACTCGCCCCCCACTGCCCCGCTCCCCCCACAAGAGAGAACATAGTCACAACACAATGGCTAAGTTCCCTGCCTCCCTGCCCACCCTTCAGGAACTCACTTATAATGAGTGCCCCACCAGTAAAATAATCCTGACGCTGCCCCTGATTTATTTTTTTTTTGTGTTGTTGCACTATGCATAAATACCTGAGTAAGAAAATGCTTGCTCTAGGGAGAGTATATTATGCATATTATTTCAGAGGATTAAATTTTTTTAATTTTTTGAGAAAAACACGGGCTTAAGAAAATCGTAATTTGGGCCCACATTAAGACGAAATTTACACCACATGGGGCTCCAAGTGAAAATTAACTTTATACCTCAATCTAGAGCAAACAAACAGCTTTATGTGGCAAGTGTTATCACTGGACAAGAGTGGCGATATGGGCTTGTTGGTGAAACATTTGAAAGAAATTTGTGTAGCGCGAGGCGAAAAAACGAACACAGGAAAGAATATAGACTGAGAAGGCAGAGCGCTACTATCAACAACATGTTTATTTTCGACCTCAAAGCTGCTTTTAAGCCATAATCGTCAGGCGACCAAGCAGATAAGCACGTGTAATTCAGATGCATGCACGACAATGCCATCTACCTACAAGAAAAAAACGATAAATAGGACAACAAAAACCTCACAGATAATATCACGTATCACTGCGTACGCAGGAACGCCAGTTCCTTGGGTGACAAGGCAATTGAAGGCTTGCTAATACAAACATCTCCAAGAGCATCAATAAGTTCGGCTTCTATGATCAACCGAGTCATCTCATCCTTATGCCGACCAACAATGATTGTACTCTGGAACAAAGGCCGGCAGCCACACGCGTGAATGTGAAGAGCGAGAAAACCTTCTGGCGGCAGTTTATTCGCCTTGTAATTGGGTTCTCTCAATCGCTCATTCACACACCTACTGGTTTGGCCGACATATTTTTTCCCACATGTGAACAGAATAAGAGAAATGACGAACGAAATGCACTCCACAAGTTTGTGTGTATGCCTTTTTGTGCGCAACACCCTTTCTTCACGTGACGGATTCGTCAGCACACACAATTTCCCAAGTTTATCACGTACTGAAAATAGCACCCTAATATTGTCCCGAAGTGCCACTTTCTTAAGATTATGTGACAGCTGGTGAACATATGGAATTACGGCCGTGCGTCTTGATTTTGCCGGTGAATCGACATGAACATTAGATTGGGTTGACCTTGGACGAATCTTTTTCAATTATTTTTCCGCAACTGAAACTAAAACATGATCCGGATAGCCCGATCCTTGCAAACGTGTGATCTGATTATGGAAACTCTGCTTCATAAGGTGCGCACATGACTTGTTCAATGCATTTTTGAGGCAAGTCGTCGCGATGGCTCTCTTGGTTAGTTTGGAATGACCGGAATGAAATGGGAATAAAGCTTTCTGAGCACGCGGATCATAGCACCAGCATAGCAGGTTGTCAGAACACTGAAATCTAAAAACCTTATTCGTCCGTCGCTAGGCCATTCTACTGTAACTTCAAGGGGCTTAAGACCATCACGAAACACATTCAACACACTAGTACTCTCAATTTGGAAATTTTCCCCCGAGCTGTCAATGAAAAATAAAATCATCTACATATCGGAACACTTTCTTGGCCGTCGTATCTGCGAGACGATATGCCACAATTCTATCAAGTTCTGCCAGAAACAGATTGCTCAAGACAGGCGCGATGCAAGAGCCGATACATATACCCTGCTTTTGCAAGAGAATATCATTGTTCCATTTAATGAACGTCGAAGTAAGATAAAACTCCAAGAAGGTAAGAAAATTATTAGCGAATATACCTGACTCAGACGAAAACTTAACAGCACCAAATTCATCAATGCTACTTCCAACACATTTTAGTATTTGTGGATGGGGGAGGGAATAGTACAGGTCTGTCACGTCAATTGAGAAGGCTCTTAGCCCTTCATTTTCATGAGCTTCCATGAACCTTAATATACTATCAGAACTCTTGACTAAAAACGGATCTCGGACTTCGAGAAGATCGAGTTTGCTCGGGGGAAAATTTCCAAAGTGAGAGTACTAGTGTGTTGAATGTGTTTCGTGATGGTCTTAAGCCCCTTGAAGTGACAGTAGAATGGCCTAGCGACGGACGAATAAGGTTTTTAGATTTAAGTGTTCAGTGTTCTGACAACCTGCTATGCTGGTGCTATGATCCGCGTGCTCAGAAAGCTTTATTCCCATTTCATTCCGGTCATTCCAAACTAACCAAGAGAGCCATCGCGACGACTTGCCTCAAAAATGCATTGAACAAGTCATGTGCGCACCTTATGAAGCAGAGTTTCCATAATCAGATCACACGTTTGCAAGGATCGGGCTATCCGGATCATGTTTTAGTTTCAGTTGCGGAAAAATAATTGAAAAAGATTCGTCCAAGGTCAACCCAATCTAATGTTCATGTCGATTCACCGGCAAAATCAAGACGCACGGCCGTAATTCCATATGTTCACCAGCTGTCACATAATCTTAAGAAAGTGGCACTTCGGGACAATATTAGGGTGCTATTTTCAGTACGTGATAAACTTGGGAAATTGTGTGTGCTGACGAATCCGT